TATTTACATTATGATTCATAACAGTAGCAAAATTACAGTTATGAAGTAGCAACGAAAATAATTTTATGGTTGGGGGTCACCACAACATGAGGAACTGTATTAAAGGGTCGTGGCATTAGGAAGGTTGAGAACCACTGTCATAGAGTCTATTTCTAAAAGTACATACACCAGTTTTTTTAATAGCAAAGGCTTAGTAAACAAACAAATGAACCCAATATTTTGCACAGTCTGAATTTGCTTGTGTTTAGTGTGGAAAAGAATACAAGTATCTGGGTTAAAATACTTCTTAACCTCCAAGATCCAACATTTCCACTAATGAGAAGTGGATTGATTGAGGTTTAAGGAAGAAAATAATTAGGTAAACCAAGGAGTTTGAGAAAGTTTTTCTACTTTTGTTAAAAAAAAAAGCTGTGAAAATCAAATTTCTAAAGAATATTTTACTCAAAAGCACAAATGACTTTGTCTTCTTCTTGACTGTGATCACTCTGAAAGAATTATGGTGATTAAGTATGATGGCCCCTGAGGGGTTATCAATGAATAATGTTTTGTGATTCATGTTTGCTTATCTATTTTTTCTGTTGAATTTATGGAGTGACATTGGTTAATGAAATTATGTAGTTTTCATGTGTACAATTCCATAATACATCATCTTTGTACTGATATTGTATATTGTACTGTATGTTTGCCACCCCAAGTCAAGTCTCCTTCCATCACCATTTATCCCCGTATAACCTCCTCCAAACCCCTTTCCCTCTGATAATCACCATACTGTTGTCTGTCTCTATGAGATTTTTTGGTTTTGTTTGTTTTTATGCTTAATTCCTTCACCTTTTTCACCTAGCCTGGCAACCCCTCTCACCTCTGACAGCTGTTAGTACGTTCTCTATGAGTCTGTTTCTATTTTTCCCAAATAAATGATGACATTTCTTGTAAAGACAAAGTGCATTTGAACAGTTACAAAGGTATTTCACTGAATTGGCTTTAGAAGGTGAATGTATTTGTTCATTAAAAAAAAAAAATCAGTCCTAGCCGGTTTGGCTCAGTGGATAGAGCATCGTCCTACGGACCGAAGGGTCCCAGGTTCGATTCCGGTGCGGGGGCACATGCCCAGGTTGCGGGCTCAATCCCCAGTAGGGGGCGTGAAGGAGGCAGCCCATCAATGATTGTCTCTCATTATTGATGTTTCTATCCCTTTCCCTTTCTCTTTCTCTCTGAAATCAATAAAAATATATTTTTAAAAAATCAATGAAAACAAACATGTATACTAAAGAAAAATTATGATTATCTAATAATGTAAATTAAGCATCTCCATTTGAAAATGTTTAATACTTTTATCTCAATCAATGAAACTGATGGAAATTTTATTTAACTACCAACCAGAACTTATTGTAGTGATTTTATTAACTTCCATCAACACTTTACAACTTACCTTCCACATGCTATCTGGGTTACTCTCTTCCCAAGGAGCGCAGCCACCAAACAGGGTTTTAACTCATTCTGTGTTGAATTGTGACCAAGCTGCCCATGTTTTCCAGCACCAAAAGTAAACAGGAGCCCATCCTAAGGAAAGGGAAGTTCATATCACATTCTAGAGAAATGCGACACAGAAGTTGTATTTATTGGTGCAAAGGCACCATCTTATCTAATGAAGATGGAATATGCTAATTGACCCTCACACCATTGCAAAGATGGCAGTGCCCACAGCCAATGAGGGAAAATGCTAATTAACTGTCCCGTCCTCAAAGATGGCAGCACCCAGTCCCCTCAGCCCCGCCAGTGCCTACTTCTGGAGTCCCCTGTCCCCTCAGCCCTCCAGCTGCCCAGGGCCAGCCCCAGGCGCAGGCAAGCCTTGCCTAGCGGCTGCCAAGAAACCCAGGGCCAGCCAAGGCTTGCGTTGCCAGCAGTGGCAGCAGCAGAGGTGTGGTGGGGGCATCGCTTTCCCCTGTTCACCGGGTCGCCTCCCTCCTCTGAGGGCTTCTGGACTGTGAGAGGGGGCAGGCCAGGCTGAGGGACCGACCCCCTCCCCCCCAGTGCATGAATTTTCATGTACTGGGGCTCTAGTCAATGAATAATTAAAAAGTACTGTCAGGCCTGGCCACTAAAGGGTTAGTGTCTCAGCTCGCCTACTGAAGGGTCTTGAGTTTGATTCCTGATCAAGGGCATGTACCCAGATCAATCCCCACCCTGACTGGGGCATGTGTGGGAGGCAACCAATCAATGTGTCGCCCTCATATTGATGTTTCTCCCTCTCTCTCCTCCTCCCTCCCTCCCACTCTCTCTAAA